GGGGACCAAAATTTATGTTCTTGTTTTGTCTGTTGGGGGGGGGGCTTTGAAAATTTTACTTGTCTTAAGAGGGGGGCAACGAAAAAATATTATAACTGTAGAGTTTCTCCTCAGTCTCCCCCTGTATAATAAATAATGAGCAGTCCCTAACATCACAAATATACTATTTTCTGACCATGAGAATTCTGTCAAAACTGTCCCAGAATCTAGGAAATGGCATTTCAGAGAACCTAAATTTAAAAATATTCTCGAGCCTTCGGCCCTCGTTCCCAACCCCCAATAAAAAAGAACTTCTTATGGCACTGCATGCTTGTTTGTAGAATTGCATTGTTTGTAAATTGCATTCTTCATTTTCTGGATAGCAAACACCTTCATGGCTTCGTATGCCATGAAATATTCAGAAATGTTTTCCCCATTCGGAAATTTTTTACCTACCCCCCCCCCCAACTATACCCGCTAGCTACACGGCCCTGTGGTTAGTATAGTTAGGGTTAATATTACATAACTAAAATGACTCTAAGATCTAATGTTAGCATTAAGGACAGGGCTAAATTCAGATATTAATAGGCTTTCACGGATAAGAAGATCCCACTCAGAAGTGCCTGATGCTAGGATTTTGAAATCAGAAGCCGAGACTGGGTGTTTGTGCATGTGTTTGAGATAGAGCGTTCTTTTCCAGTCAAAGGCGAAACTCCAATATGCTCTGAGATACGTGTGTGAATGTGTCGGCGTGCTTGGCCATATACCTGTCGCGATTTAGGTAGAGCGTAATTGCGTTGGGTTTTCAGTTGGCCCAACAACCAACGCATAATTAGTTATTCCACAACAAACTTAACAAACCCAACAGCACAACAAACCCAATAGCACAACAAACTCAACAGCACAACCAACCCAACAGACCCAACAGCACAACAAATCCAACAGGACAACAAACCCAACAGCACAACAAACCTAACAGACCCAGCAAACCCAACAAATCCAACAGGACAACAAACCCAACAGCACAACAAACTTAACAGCACAACAAAGCAAACAGCACAACAAAGCCAACAGCACAACAAACCCAACAGGACAACAAACCCAACAGCACAACAAACCCAACAGCACAACAAACTTAACAGACCCAACAGCACAACAAAGCCAACAGCACAACAAACCCAACAGCACAACAAACCCAACAGCACAACAAACCCAACAGGACAACAAACCCAATAGCACAACAAACTTAACAGACCCAGCAAACCCAACAGACCCAACAGGACAACAAACTCTCAACAGCACAACAGACCCTACAGACCCAACAAACTCAACAGACACAACAAACCTAACAGCACAACAGACCCAACGAACCCAACAGCACAACAAACCCAACAGCACAACAGACCCAACAAACCAAACAGCACAACAAACCTAACAGCACAACAAACCCAACTGACCCAACAGCACAACAAACCTAACAAACCCAACAGCGCAACAAACCCAACAAACCCAGCAGCACATCAAACCCAAAAGCATAACAAACCCAACAGCACAACAAACCCAACAGACCCAACAGCACAACAAACCCAA